TTTTTTGTGTCAACGATGTTGTTGACTGAGTAACCAATCGGAGCTTTTAGGAAGGATTTTGATTAGGGATGTCACATTTACTTGTCAGAAAAACTATCAAGATATTTGCAATTTGCAGTGTTTTGCCACAACTGTCGTACAACTTGTTTAAAGTCAAGGTAAATGATAAATCACTACGGTGTCAAATCAGTTTCTAAAATGGGAATGAGTTCATTGCTGCTTGAATCCACAAATCACAGTGACACCTTAGGATGTTTTTATACACTTACTGTAGAAATGAGTAAGTGACATTTTCAATGAGATTAAAAGAGGTTTTTCGCATTCACCTAATTCTAACTCATTACACTGCCTAGATGTAGCTGAATGGAATATCAAGGCCATTTAGTCTTTGTTTGCACATGATTCATGTACAGTAGCACCAGATATAGGATTTTAAATCATTCAGCAGTGCCAAATGTGTTATTGTTTAACAGCATGTGGTGGCTTAAGTGATGTATTCCGTTGCCATAAATGCAAGATAAAAGTATACAAATCCAGAGCAGTGTGCTTTGTGCTGCTCCGCCTACGGACCTCAGGGTATGTGTTTGTGCTATGGGTTTGCAGTACTGCATTATGTTTCCTCTGATCTTAACTTTTCCACCAGTACAAGCACTCTTGTACACAGGCTAATTGCAAATCAATGGGAATACATCCTCCTTGAAAAACTGTGACATTTTCCCGCTCTTTGGCAATGATTAGAAACAAATTATGCCTGAGACTAACTGACATTTGGAGAGCAGGCGGCTGTTTGGAGTGTAAAGGATCAACAGAGATGTGTTTATGCTCTGCTGCTGCTGCTGCTGTGTGTGTGTGTGTGTGTGTGTGTGTGTGTGTGTGTGTGTGTGTGTGTGTGTGTGTGTGTGTGTGTGTGTGTGTGTGTGTGTGTGTGTGTGTGTGTGTGTGTGTGTGTGTGTGTGTGTGTGTGTGTGTGTGTGTGTGTGTGTGTGTGTGTGTGTGTGTGTTTGCCCGACCAAGGGCATACACTACTGCGGGCTGCTCAGCCAGAGGGCCCTGTAGGAATAGCTTGATAAGGGAGGCTTATTTACCATAATAATGCATCTCATCTCTGCACATCAAACACTCCTGCATGGTCTGATAACCCGCTCTTTCATTTAGCACAACTGTTTGATCTAGCTGTGCTGCTGCTGCTGTCCCAGGGCCATTGTCGCGAGCAATACAACAGTTGGGTAATTGCTGTGTACTTTAGCAGTGTTTCACAAATAGAACAATTACGTAATGTCGGCGCACCTATTGCAAGGAGCTCCACTGAATTGTGGGAAGCAGACGATAGATGTGTGTCAGAGAAACTTCAAATTGCATCATTAAGGGGGCCCTACCATGCTCATTTTCAGGTTCATATTTATATTGTGTGCCTCTGCTGTGACATGTCTCCATGCTTTAATGTTCAAAAAAGTTTATATTTTTCTCATTCTGCCTACCCTCTTTTCACCCTCTGTCTGAAACCAGAGCCCAGTCTGCTCTTTTTGGTTAGCTGGCCCAATCTGTTTTGATTAGCTAACTGCTTAGAGATTTCCCGCCCCTAAGCCTATCACGTGCAATTAGTTTGAGCGCTAGCCGATAGAAGCGCAAGTGTTATATAGTGATGTCACTATGCGCAGAAGTAAACAAAGGTACGGTGGCCCTGAAGTGCAAAACACCACAGCATTTCACATTGGACGGAAAGGGTATTCCTTTAGGGAGAACACTTCTTGTTTGTGATTGGACAGAGCCAGCCAGAGAAGCACTGCTGTGATTGGTTGTTTTTGCTGCCAGTCAAGAAATGACGCTTCGTGATTGGTCAACACCCGACAGCGAAATATGTCCCAACACATCAGCCGTTAGCACACACTCAGAGCTCACAGCTCCTCATATCTGTTCAGAAACTGGACAAAAGTTAAACATGTACAAACCACAGACTGTCTATGTCATGGTGAATACAGTCACTGCTTTATTTATGTCTGTATGACGTTGTTGCGAGAGTGGACGGAGCAGCTACAGGTTAGTTTAGCCTGATGGATCCGATTCCATTCAGAAAACACGCATTTTAAAAGCTTTTCACCTGCCGTCTTATCTGCAGACTTGTCAAAGCGTTAATTCATGGTTTTTACTAACCGTTGTCAGTATGTAGTTACTTCGGCATCACTTTGAAATGTGTATTACAATTAAATCACGGTCAAATATGTTCATTTTGTTGTAGTTGGTATCTCCCATAGGATTTACATGGAGATACGCCCCGCCCCCTCTCAGCGCCTCTTGTTTGAATGACGGGAGCAAACACAGCTGACAGCCGCGGTGAAACTCGAGCGATTAGAGCGATGCGAATATTGGGTGGTCTACCATAGTATTTACATGGAGATAAGCCCCTTAAAAACCATGAATTAATAAAGCATTAATTATGTGTTTACTCCTGTCATTCAAACAAGACGCTGGAGAGGGGGCGGGCCGTATCTCCATGTAAATCCTATCGGAATCGGATCGATCAGGCTAAACTAACCTGTAGCTGCTCCGTCCACACTCACAACAACGTCATACAGACATAAATAAAGCAGCGACTGTATTCACCATGACATAGACAATCTGTGGTTTGTACATGTTGAACTTTTGTCCAGTTTCTGAACAGATATGAGGAGCTGTGAGCTCTGAATGTGTGCTAACAGTTAACGGCTGATGTGTTGGGCCAATCACGAAGCGTCATTTCTTGACTGGCAACAAAAACAACCAATCACAGCAGTGCTTCTATGGCTGGCTCTGTCCAATCACAAACAAGAAGTGTTCTCCCTAAGGAATACCCTTTCCGTCCAATGTGAAATGATGTGGTGTTTTGTGAAATGCTGTGGTGTCTTGCACTTCAGGGCCACCGTACAAAGGAGTCAAAAGGAGGCGTTTCAGGGAGTGAGTGGGAGAGAAACTCCCTCTGGAGGGAACACAGGGATTTATTCTTTGCAGACCATTTACAAAACACACTACAGGAAAGGGAAAACCCAAAAATATAATAGGGCCCCTTTAAAGGGTTGGTAGTCATATTTATACGTCCATACCTTTTATTTGGAAGTTAGAGAACCTTCCCCAGGAACTGGACAGCGTTAGTTGCTAGTCATGTTACAGATTGTCATCTGATGCCGAAAGTAATTCACCTAGATATATCAACAGACCATTTTAAATGGGTGCTCAGTCTTCTCCAGAACTGTAGGTACCACTCAGAATAGCAAAGTCTCTATTTAGTATTCTTGGCTCAAAATGCTGTCGTTAACTGCTAAAGCTGAAGTTACTGTACACGTGAATGGGACTCACATGCAACAACTCAACACAATATTACAAAATCAAAAGTCTTAACTAAATTACTAAAAAAAAAATCTCTTCAAGAGGAACAAACATGAACAACAAATACAAGACTAAATTAATGTGGCACTTTGTATAAACAAAATAAAGTTCAACTTTGTTACATGCATTTTGAAGGATTCATTGAAAACACATATTGTGAAATTATGAATAATGAATGCTGGTGTATACAAGTCTGGCCTAAATCTTCTGTCAGAAAGATTGCAGCAATCCAGGGGGTGTAGATATCCAAACTTTAATTGTTCACAGGAGTTATGGTGTTACAGGATGTTCGTTTGTTATGTTGTGGTTATCTAAGAAATATAAATAAACAGAGTAGATCAAATTAGTAAATGACAATATTAATCCTACATTACGATTTCCTGCTAGGAACAGTACATATTAAAGCAAACAGATATTGTTCTAAACTGTATTAAAGTAAACAGGTATTATCTTGAACTGTATTGAAGTGAACATGTATTATTTGGGACTGTTTAAAGTAATCCTATATATATATAAACCTTCTTACCTACACTCCATGACCCAGAGACCCTGACACATACACATACACCTCCTCCTGTCTTCATGCAGCACACACACATAAACTCCTCAACCCAGATGTCAGCAACACACACACATATGCCTCTGCTTATCAGCATGCACACACACACACATACACTTTCCCTCACTAACACGCACACATGTTCTTTTTTCAAGGTTCCTTGCTGGGAATAATCCGAAGCACCAATATTTCTGTGTACAATGTTTGATTGTTTTAAAAGAATAGTTTGTGTGAAATCTTCCCTGGGAAATTAAAGGAGTTAACCCAGGTATAAGATACAAAGTGATTCTGACCTTGTATAGTTCCGATGCTGTCACGCTCTGTTCAGAAGAAAGATACTTTTTCCCAGAACTCTAATTCTCTTAGGAGTAAAATGGGACGGAAGAGCCGACACACATCTCCACCTCCAAATATGTCCATATATACTGTTGTTTCTTCATGCAAAATGCCCCCTGTTTCTGACTGGCTGGTCCCGATATCTGTATCGCACGGCAGTAGAGCGGGGAGCCCGGAGTGTTCTGTTTCAGGGCACTCTGTATTTCGTATTGTGTTTTTTACTGTATTAAAATCAGATTATTGTTATAACTTTTATGCCGGTGTGTTGAACTCCCTCTTTTATCAATCTGACCAGGCTCATCTAACGGACGGCGCGGAGCACAGGTGGGCTTTGAGCCACCACTATTGTGGCTGCTCCTACAATCTGGTGACCTGCCGACGTGATGAGTGCTGGTCTCTAGGAGTACCACCGACAGCCAGCGGACGAATTTCAGTCCAGGGAAGGACACCTGCACACCGTTGACAACTAAATCAGGACGTCCAGATACAAAGGTGATCAGACACCTGTTGATTGTCAAAGTCTGTGATTGGCTATACTACAAACATTTTAGAGTTGTCAGCGGCGTTCTCAGTGTCCTTAGTCATGGTAAAAAATACAATACTGAACAAAGTGTTTGTAGAGTCAGGTAGAACAGTCCGGACCTAAGGCACCGAGTTAAAGTGCTTAGTCAGGTATAGAGTCCTGCAGCTAAGGCACTGAGTGTTTGAAGAGTCTGGTATAGAGTCCAGTATCCTTTAACTCACTAAAGTAAGAAGGGGCTTAGAGTCAGGTAGAACAGTCCGGACCTAAGGCACCGAGTTAAAGTGCTTAGTCAGGTATAGAGTCCTGCAGCTAAGGCACTGAGTGTTTGAAGAGTCTGGTATAGAGTCCAGTACCTTTAACTCACTAAAGTAAGAAGGGGCTTAGAGTCAGGTAGAACAGTCCGGACCTAAGGCACCGAGTTAAAGTGCTTAGTCAGGTATAGAGTCCTGCAGCTAAGGCACTGAGTGTTTGAAGAGTCTGGTATAGAGTCCAGTACCTTTAACTCACTAAAGTAAGAAGGGGCTTAGAGTCAGGTAGAACAGTCCGGACCTAAGGCACCGAGTTAAAGTGCTTAGTCAGGTATAGAGTCCTGCAGCTAAGGCACTGAGTGTTTGTAAGAGTCGGGTAAATAGCTATAAGTCCCGTACCTTAATTCACTAAAAAAATTAAAATAATTTTATTTTTTTTTTTTAAATAAAAAAGTGAACCAGCGAGAGCGTGAGGTAGTTTAGTCCGGCACGGCTGACTCGCTGGGAAAATTCTGTAGAATATAGACTGAATATTATATGTGGGTTTTCAAGAGGAGATACGCAACTTTCAAAATCAATTTGAAACGACCGGATCTCGCAAACTCTTGCTGTGGGGGTGATCTGAACGGCTAAACGTGACGATAAAGGATTTTTTTGGTTTGGGTTAATCTCCTTGTGTCGGTCGCATCTCTATATAGGGGTGTCGAAGCACCGGCAAAGACCAGAATTATCTGTTGAAATATACATCGCACAAAAAAAAAAAAGCCGGACAGAATATATAAGGGAATAAACTCTGTGTGATCTTTTTACGTCGAATCTGTGTAATAATTGAGAAAATAGAGCATAGCAGGAGATACACAAGACAATTGCAGAGCTGAGAGCTCCGAACAGGGTGTAACAATATTCTGGGATTGGAACTCTGAATTCAGAATAGAATATAGGACGACAAGATTTGTCCAGTGTATTAATAAATACAAGTAATTTAGTCAGATAATAGATACGAAGTCAATTATGGAAGAAGAGTAGACCCTTTGTTTCAACCAGAAAAAGAGCAAGCTATTCATCACAATTGTATTTTTATGTTATGAATAAAACAAAAAGAAGTAGCCTAAGTGATAAGCAGAAGGGTTTTTGAACGCTTGTCAGTCAGAAGGAATCTATTAATGTGGAAGACAGGGGTGCTTATGCCCTCTTCGGTTTTCAATGTCCGCCATCACGTTAAAACAGAGGATTGGTGGCATTTTCAGTTCATTGTTTGCTTCCACACGCCTTTTCCCCTCCTTGTCTCTTTCATGACTTTATTTAATGCATTAGAACGATTGCTATCGTAACTTTCCGTGTTTCTAGAAGTCAAACTCACTGTTCACATTACGGAGTATATTTCCGGAACGGCCTTTCAAAATAAAAGCCACAGGCCGCTGTGCACCAGAGATGCCTTCACAATAAAACAGTGATTAGCTTAACAATATATTTAACTTATATTACGTCCTTAAACATTGATTTTAATTCATTACAGTTTTCAAATACGGCGCGGATTGAATACAGTTATTTGTGTATTCTGTTACAACCTAACCATGCTTGTAACACAACTTAGATAAACAATTTGAAAATGAATAGCATTAACCAAGTAGATAAAAGATTAGTTTAGTGGTTAAGGAGGGTGTCCTTGTTTTGCCTATTAACTTAGAACTGAAGTAATAAAGAATAGGCAGACTACTACCATTAGTTTGTTTTAACATTCACATGTTTCAGCATTCCTGACCTCAGCCGTTTTATTTTGTAACCCGTTGGGAGAGAGATTTAAATTGAGTTTTTCTCAGTAGCTGAATGTGATTACAGAAACATTGGATATTCCTGCACCACCTTTTGGGTTCTCTGAATCAGTGTGTTGGTGAAGAATTGCTCACTGCAAACAGAAGAAGTTTGCAAAGAACGCATCTCTGAGGAGATATTGACATTTTTCGTTGTCAAGGCAACAGTGGTGTGAAGAGGTACTGCGGTTTTGGGGGATTTCTGCTGTACAGAGGACAACGTGTGTCTGCCAAGTGATTCCTTCCCTCATCCCAATGCCAGGGAGTTTCCTTGGAGCCCACTGACCAGGGCCGGTCCTAGCTTTTTTGGGGACCCTGCCACTGACTACAGATGCATCACTGACTGTGCTCATTATGACAAGATCTTGATACATGCTTGCCTCAGATTGTTCAGACTCTGAAGGAATGCAATGATTTTACAGCATAATTGTGCAAGAGTTTCCCAGGGGGTGGTGTAGAAACCTTAATGCTTAGTGTTTAGATAAGAGGCTGCTTGTTTAAATGATGGTCTGGAATACTGAAAAGATTAAAGTTTAATATTCTTGGTTAGCAAACAAGACATCTGATTATTATGTCACACATAATAATCTTGTTATAGAAACTAGCTATGTGTAAAACGTGTGGTTGTTATACCATTGTTATCATGAACAAAAGATAAATAAGGAAATAGTATCTGCTTAAAGATGAACGGATTTCATAGAGAGGATTAGTTATTGTGAATACTCCACAAGGTATCTACTAATGTATTTTAAAGAACCAAATTTAAAGAACTTGAATTGACTTGATAAATAAGTGAAGATAAGAAGATGTATTAACCATGAATTAATCAATTGGTAAATTAAAAATAGCGGTAAAGAGGAAAACTATTAAAGTGAAGTGAAAAATCATCCTAAAACACACTGATGGAGAGGTGGGGGGGGGGGGCATGATGGAAGTATGCACTAGACTTTAAGTAGTGGGTGTTTGGGAGTTAGGAGTACAGTGTAGAACCATATTCTTCAATCTTTTCATCATGTTTACAAATTATTCTTTTAGAGTTTTTATTCATGTGTGAATTTGGTAGTGTTTTAATTTGTTACAGTATTGATCAGTTCAAAGGGAGAGTTTTAGTAACATCTCTATAAGATCAGACAAATATGTATTTATATAGGTCATGTTGAAGGGAAAGCTAGTTCTAAACAAAATATAGTATTTCAATTTGAGGTACTGGTTTCACCATTGTGGCATAGTTATTACCATAGGAGGGCTTTCGGATGGACATACGAAACGACTTCTGTTTTTAAATCCTTGATAAAGTAGGGAGTGATTGTTACATGTTCGGACACCCAGGGTTCCACGCACTGTTAAAGAGGGTAACATTGTTCTTTAAGTGCACCAGAATTGAAGATAAATTAATATAATGAGTTATGAAATACATGGCAGAGCTTTACAGATCCTAATAATGTTTTGACTCAAGAAAATAATTATATGCACAAGTTTCTGATCTATTAGACATTTTAATATAGATTAGGTGTTAATGAACTGCAGTAGTGGTACTATAAGGAAGTGAGTTTTGTACCAAGTTGCAGGAAATGTGGGAAACAGCTGTCCCAATGAAAAGTTAGAGATATCTGGAACATTATAGTTGTAATCGTGAATTAATAAATGATGGCGCTCCATATATGACAGATTTTTGTAGACAAAGGATACTGGTCTATGCTGAAATATCAAAGTCTCTGCAGAGCACGACACATGGCCAAAAAGACTGAGACCAAATTACCTTTGACCCTGGACAGTGTGACTTGAGAAGGTACTGTCAAGGACTGACTCTGGGGTGTACCTGACCAAACTTGACTTTACAACCTGAAAAGTTAGAGAATGTGAGTGTATGTCTGCATGTGATCAGTGCAACTGCATGATTTAAAACAATGACTAATCAAGCATGCTTTTGGCCTAACACATTATTCTGAGGCTCTGTGGGAAATGAGAGGTTTCCTAAAAGGTGTGACCCGTTTCTAATCTACTTGATGATATTTCACTCCCACAGGCAGTGGCTGTTTGCAGAATGTGAACCTCAAACTAAAACATGAAGATTCTGTTTCTTTTGGGACTGGGGGAGGGAGAGAAACACTTAATTTCACTGAAGTGTTTACTGTGGAAAATGATGGATGTACATTTGGGAAAAGTGTTTGGTATTTTCTTAAAATCAATTATTACCTGAAGGTTTTCTTCCCATACAGGATTTTGTTACACATGGGTTCATGTGTAAAAAAGGGGGAGTGTCTGACCATTGATTGACAGTTTTAGAATTGACCTGCTCCATATCTGGGGATAAGATACTGTTTGGTGAATGTTGACATGTCTCTGGAATACTGAAGAAGTTGACCTGTGAGTAATGTTTCAACAGGTATAAAAGTAACTGAGGTTTGAAATGTAGAAAGAACATATTACAGTTAAAGCTAAAACATAGTAGTGTAATGAGACAGAATTTAATTTAGACAACATCATGTAACTAGCCTGGTAAAGAAGTAAAAGCCATAGACTTTATTGTTTAGGTCATTATGGGGATATACATTTAATCTAAATTCATAATAGAAAGACATTTGATGACAGTTTGTTGGAATTCTGTATTCATTTTTTCAGCGTGATAATATCTAAGCACTGACAGGTAAAAGCAGTATCACCAGGAAATCATTCACTTTGTTAGTATCGTGATTTTGGTTGCTTTTGAATCCATAACATTAGTGTGTTTCTTTACCAGAAACATTAACAGTTCATATTATATTTAGATTTTAAATAGGATCTCAAGGATTTCATTTAAGAAATTCTGAGCTATTGAAATATGTTATTTAGTTCACCTAAAGATGTTTTATTTAGGTTTATTTAGTTGGCACAGTCCAAGTATTAAGATTCTGAAGCTGCACTGGCAAATAGGAGGTCTACAATTAATTTAGAAAACCTGTTCCCAGACGGCTGTTGTTTTAAGACACCCCACCAACAGGCTCCAAGCGGCCTACGCAGTGGTGGGTCAAACAGCTGAGGGCCCCGGAGCCCTGAGCGTAGGCTTGAGGGATTTGTATCAGATTTCTCCACACAGGTTGCTGGCGCCAAAAGAGGGACCCAGGAGCCCGACACAGCGGAGTTCGTCTGGCTGAAGGTCATCAGGACAAAGTGGCTCAACCCCAGGCTCTCCGGCCCCGACCGAGTGACCCAGCGGATCTCTGCCGTCCGTCTAGGAGGAAAGGGGGACAGCTGGAGCCAGTGTGTGGCGGGGAAACCACCTGCTAGGACCAGGGGACGACATCAGGACGGATCTGGCTCTCGTCAAGGAGGTCGACTCGGAAGCTGTCATCAGCAGACTGGAGGAGAAGGACCTCGAGGCGTCGTCAGCGGGCCGGAGCATCGGGAGGACATCATCAGCGGGCCGGAGAAGGAGCATCGGGAAGACATCTCTCTAGCAGGCAGCCCAGAAGCCGCCGTGAGCGGATCGGGGGGACAAAGACACGGCAAGCCAAGACGGCACCGGGGACTCCACTCTCCGCTGAAACAGGTGGATATAGCCGGTGTGAACTCTGTTTCACTATCCCATTTTTTGAGGAACTCTGTTTCACTATCCCATTTTTTG